TTACAAAATCCACTTTAAAGGTCAAATCAATTTTTTTATCCTTATTTAATTTAATATAATTTATTTTGTGCAAAAATATTATTTTTACTTACAAAATCCACTTTAAAGGTCAAATCAATTTTTTTATCCTTATTTAATTTAATATAATTTATTTTGTGCAAAAATATTATTTTTACTTACAAAATCCACTTTAAAGGTCAAATCAACTTAGATAAATTTAAAATTTTTTACAGTGAGTTGAAATAATTTTTATGAACAATGTGGAATTGATTTTGTCAATTTTTTATTCATATTTAATTTAAATAAATTAATACATGATAAAAATGTTTAATTAAAAACAGAAATATACAAAATTATTCAAATCATCAAATTAATTTTTCTAAGCTTCTCTGATCATATGAAACCTAACAAAATTGATCTCAAAATTTTCTGAGGAATATTTTAATTTATATAATTAAATAAAGCCAAAATAGTCATTTAGGCTTGAAAATTATGGTTAGAAGCACAGAAGTGCTCTCTGACTTTGGAAAAATCAGAGGACGTGCTCTCTATCATGAGGAATCAACCCTAAAAATTTCAAGTCATGGTGATTAGTATTTAATCATGATGAATTAAAATACCTCAGAGTATTTAATTAACTAAAAATCATATACTTAACAAATAATTTTTATTTTTGGTCCACATTATTCTTCTCTGTTCACTGAGCAAGATGATATTTTTTTTTATGATTTTTTCTCAAGAAAGATATGAATTTTTGAAGATCAGACATTAAAATATTTAATTAACTAAAAATCATATACTTAACAAATAATTTTTATTTTTGGTCCACATTATTCTTCTCTGTTCACTGAGCAAGATGATATTTTTTTTTATGATTTTTTCTCAAGAAAGATATGAATTTTTGAAGATCAGACATTAAAATAAATTCAGAAAATCAATATTTTTCTACTTATCCACGCGGCGCCACCTCATCCTACGAATGCTCCGAGCTCACACGCGGCGCTCCGCCATTCGACGCTGTCTTCTCACTCGACGCTGTCATCCACCTCAGCTATCATGCGGCCCGCCTTTTTGCTCCATCTGTTCGTCCAACGCGATCTCAGCCGTCTATGGAATAAACGCACGATCGAATGACCTAACCCGAGAACTGTCCATACTAAAACCGTAAGATCATTGCCTAGACTCAACCAAATCGCATGGAATTTGTTTCTAAACCTTCATCTACTCAATACGAACATATCTATACGGTTTATCAAGCATGCAATCAAGCCATCACAAATGGAGAATCAAAAGAAGCTCGTGCTAGGGTTAGAGCTCAATACCTTTGTCTGAGAGGGGAGGCCTAAATCAGATGGTTTTGGTATCTTTGATTGGATCCAACGAACCTCCAGATGAAGTCTCAAACTCTGGTGAACTGTCTAGTTCTGCCACAGTCAGATGGTTGTGATTTTGATCAAACTCGATTTCAGGTGTTGGTCTAAAGCTAGGTTAGAGGCTGTTTGAGAGGGGGCTTTTGTGTGGAATCAACTTCTCTCGATGTGGAGATGGTGTGTGCACAGTTAATTAAAGTTTGGTTCACTGTAGAGTTGTGGAGAAGAATGTCCTGGTTTCGGCATGATTTTGAGCTCAAAATTGAACTCTCACAGAGGGAACCAGAGGGGGAAGATGGTTGGCTTGAGCTTAGGAATGCTTGGAGAATCCATGGTGAGATTTTGGTAGAGTCTCCCCTAGGATTTTGGTTAGCTCTCTTTTCGCCATGAAGGTGGTTTAAATAGAGGAGCTTAAGGTGGAGCTCAGGGCTTCAATTTGGGTTCAATTAAGTGCTTATGTGGAGGGCTTCAAAATGCTAAATACCGATCAGAGTTGGACACATTGGATGGGTGAAATTGGGTTTGTGATAAAGCATGGGGGCTCTCGGTTTTGGTGTTTTCCGGCCACTAGGTCGGTCTGCAGAGCCAGAGGCCAGGGGTGGTGGTCAGAGGAGTCAAGTGAGTCAGGGGGAGAGTTAATTATGATTAACCCTTAATGGTTTGTCAGAATGGTGAAGATATCTTGGCTTAGACCCAAAAATGGGATGAAATCCCTTAATTTAGGGAACCATTGGTCCATAGCCCACCTTGGCTGGTTTAGGTGGGTGTGGCTAGGCGGGTCACTAGGGTTTACTTTGGGTCCGTGATGTCATTAATTTGATCATTAAGAAATGGCTAGGCCAATTTTGGTGAAGGGGTTCAATTTGGGTCAAATTAGCTTGAAGTTGGGTTTGGGTTAGTAGATAATTGTCAAAACAAGTTTAGAAAAGATTTGGAGTGATTTTGAATTGATTGGGTGGGTTGATTTGAAGGAATTTGGACATTTGATAAATTTGGGTATGTTGGGTTAGACTTGGGCTTAGGTTGGGCTAGGGTTGGGCTAGATCCAAATTGATGATTGAAAATGATCTAGGGGAATATCAGGAAGAATTCTCAACATCACTTGGGTGTCAATTTTGGGGTTTGAGCATTCAATTTAGTGGAATTTGGGCATGCAGCTAAATTGGGGCAAATTTGGATATTTTGAATTTGGGTTGAAATTGAGTGGAATTGAAGCTTGAGCAAGGTCAATTGAGGGCTCAATTTGATTATTAGGAATTTTAGGAAAAGTTTGGGATCCAAATTGAGGCAATTGAGTGGGCTATGGGGTTCATTTGGGTGAGATTGGGTCATATGGTCAAAATTGAGGGTTTTGGTTTGGATCAAAATTGAGCTCAAAGCATGGGTCAATTAAGCTTTAATTTGGTTTGAAATGATCACAGACATGATGAATTTGAGTTTAGAATTGAAATTGGAGAAGATTGAGGTCAAATTGATGGACATTTGGGGTGAATTTGGAGAAATTGAGTCTTTAAAAGCAATTTGGGGGTTTTGGTCAACATGGTCAAATTGATCAGATTGAGTTCAATTGAAGGGTCCAAATTAGTTTTGGGGGCATTTGAGATGATTTTCGAGGTTTTAGGAAAGTTTGGGCTACCAAGGGAATTTTTGCAATTTTGGCCAATTTGTGGGTATTTTGGTATTTTTTTGCAATTTTGGATAGTTTTGGGCAATTTGAGTAGCTTCAAATGGTTTGAGATGATTTTTGAACAAATTTGAGTATTTTGGGTGATATTGGGATTTTTGGCCAAACTTAAGGTTTGGGGGTGTTTAGGTAATTTTGGTAGATTTGGGGGGGCAAAAGGCCAAGTTGGATATTTTGGTAAAATTGGGTGCCAACCACTCTATGTGAATCATGGACCAATGGAATCCCCATTTGGGTCCTCTATGTACTGGTCCTAGCTATACCCCAGCCTAGGGCTAGTAGGTCTAGGGGATCATCTACATGAGTCTCCCAAAGGATCAAGAGATCAAAGTCAACAAAGTTTGGGCTTAGGGTTATGAGAGAAAGTGAGTGCAAGTGAATAAACCAACTCCAGACCAACACCCAGGGTCAGCTCTAAGGCCAAGCATTCCTATAGGGACTCACCTTGAGTTCTCCCATATTGACCCCACCTTGAGTTGTGGAACTTCAAGTTGAGAAAAGAATGGTTTAGAGTTTCTAATGGTGAGGGTTCATTTTCTAGTCCTCTAGGAATAGTCAACGGGAGGGAAAATCCTATGGCTAGAGGTTACTAAAGAGGAAAAACTAGACATCAACCAAAAGTGAGGTCAACACATACCTTCTATGAGTTGTGGTTTCTACTCGACCACAATCATCTTCTTTCGATTCGGAAAAATCAAATCGTCTCTTCACATCCATTTCACTATCAGATTCGAGAAAACTTGAAGATTCGGCTAGAGCGTGTCTAGCATCGAGGTTTCTCATAGTACAAAGCGAAAATGGTTGCCAAACATCCCAATCCCGGTATGGAATTTGTAAGATTTATGAACTTGATACTCAATATCTTCCATCTCAATTTCACAAAGAGTTTGACAAGTTTGGTTGTTAGACATTTCGCTCGGAATGAGATAGCTATAGAGAAGTCGGGAGAAAGATGGGGAAGGCGGCAGTAGCAAGGGGCATAGGGGTGTAGAATTGTTCGACGACCGGAGGAAGGGCCTGAAAGGGGCGGCAGCAAGCAGCAAGTGGGTTGGAAGGGGTCGCAGAAAGCAGCAGATCGCAAGTGGACTGGAAGGGTCGACAACAGGCAGTAGAGGGGGTGAAAGGGCTGGCATGAAGCAGAAGACAAAAGGAAATAGACAAACTTGGGATGAGTTATAGCCAAACTCAATTCTCGCAGTTGGATACAACTCTAAGAGGGGAAAAAGATACGCAGGAGGTTGTCCTGATAGAAATCTCAAAGCAAAGCAAAAACTGAACCTTAACCAAAGAAAACAGCATATATATAAGGGGAGGGGTGGGGTGGGGTGGGAGCCAATCCTAGCCCAATAGAAAGGGTCGGCCGGCCCTTGAACCTCCCATGTTGATAGATGAGCCTCGTGTCATGTAGACTAGAAAAACATGAAAAAAATGAATAAAAATAAGCCTGGTATACTTTTCTACATCTTCTGTCTCCCTGGATACAATACTTGTGTTCATACCTTCTATTAATAATAAAATGTATTAACTAATACTAGTCATATCACTATGCTAATAATGAAAAAGAGAAAATAAAGCACTCAATAGAATTGCGAGGAAAAGTGGCGGTAAAATGTTTCTCGAAAGCAACTGTGCAACACATCACCAACATAGAGCAGTTAGATTCATTGATTTCTAATAATGAGCAAATCATATTTTGCTTCAGAAACGGATGGAAAAAGATCTTTATTCAGTAAAGCAAATGCATCAAATAAATAAGGATGTCCAATATCAAAATAAAAAATAAAACAATCAGAAAGTTGCAGAATGCAATGTAGTTAATTGTGAAATAGTATGCCAACTAGCCAGGACTACTATATATTGAATATATTAGTCCTGTGACTTTAGAGGCGTCACTTTGCCAAAAAAATGCATAAAATGAGACAGAAAAATTGGAAAGCTAAACAAACCGTTGATAAGATTTGCTTCAACATATGGGAGACCACTATATCAGCAGGCTGGAGATCAGCAACAGCAGCACCAGGTTCCCCATGCTGAGCAATTAAAATCAACATGACAAAATTAACTAAGAGCAAATCAAGGCTCCTAATAGGCATATATTAAAAAAAATTAAAAAAAAAATTTATTTGGGTACCTTTAGCCATCACCATGCAAAGGCAAAGTCAACACTCAACAGTTTAAAAAATAAAAAATAAAAAATAAAAAAAGCAGATACCATCCCACACAGTTCCACTCCCTCATTTACATGAAAATCTGTGTATTGTTTCAACTAAATCTACTTTTATTTTTAAAAAAACGCTGAATCTGACATATGTATGTATATATGTATGTATAAAGAGAGAGCAACAGAGAGGATGGTGGCTTCTCCAAGTATATATTATGTTTTCGTTCTACACTACCTCAGGTATAGTAGTGTAGTAATATTGACGACTTCCAACCTTACAAAATTTATAATAGAATGTAATGAGTTATTACTTAAAGTAAGCATATAGGATTATTACCCCCAAATGGTTAGCTCACTTTATAAAATCTAGACGTCATCATTAACTTAAAATTTTGCAGTCACAATATAACCCCACTTTATGAAATGTGGATGTCATCATTACCTTCAAATTTTGCAGTATCACACTATAACCCCACTTTTCACACAAAACCAAAAGACAATCCAAGGTGATCCTTGATAATTAGTATCTCAAGTGAACTTACAATTCCTAGTCCAAGCTCCATCAATCCTGGACCTAGCCGGTCAGATGTGACATGGCCTGGCAATGTGCAAACTGAGAAGGCAACTCCCATTGTTCCCACTATTTCAGATGCATGTTTTGCTTCCGCAGCCACATCAGCCAGGGAAAGACCAGCAGCTGCAGCTGCCCCAGCAATCTGTCATGGAAAAAATCATAAACTAGTGAACGAAAGAAGGATTAGAAAACAAATAGAGCCTAAAATCAAAATGTACTACTATTAAACATGCACTCATCAAGAATTACATATTAAAGATGCATTCAAATTATCAAGCACTAAATTATCATATCCCCCAATTTAATCAGTTAACCATAAAAATGATCTCTCATGGAGTAACTTGGGATAAATTTTGTATAATCAAGAGACTAAAATGGAATCAATACTGTATCACATTTTCTCCATGAGAGACCATTTTGTATTAATTTTGTAAAATGGTGGGGTTATAATAGATAAGTCTGATACTAAAACTAAATTAGACAAATGAATAGTAGGAGACTATTTTGCAATTAACCCTATACATATGTGTGTATTCTCTTGCTAAAAGGAGGGTAATTATTCTCTTTCAACGTGACTGTGTTTGTAATTTTAAATAGTGATCAAACTCAAGATCACACAATGATTGTAAACTACAACTTGAACATTGTTGATTAAGTGACGCGGGGCGCCTATGCACGTGCAGCAATTGCAGCACACCAGACCAGATCAGTCTAGGCAAGAGAAAGACTGACCGGTCCTTCCATGTGCATGGTTCCCTCCTATTTGATGCAGGGCCCACTCCTCCTTATCCAAAGTCTATAGATATGTTATTTTTTGTGTTTTAGGTCAGTTTTCTTTGCTTCAATTTTCCACAGCCGACGTCTTTCTTCCTTACTAGAGTTGTATCCAATGACAGGTCGTGCTCCGACTTTATCATGCTCCAAGATGGAAGTTATCTCCTCATATTTCCTCCCCTTTATCCCTTCGCCTGCTTGGAGCCGCTTTTCTTGCACCCTCGCTTGCTTGCCGCCGCCACTCCCTACACTTCCTGCTTGTTGCCACCACTCCCCGCACCTTCCTGCTTGCTGCCGCCACTCCCCCCACATTCCACTCTTGTACGGCCCCAGCCTATTCTCATCCTTCCCAAGTACCCTCACCGCAGCTTTGCATGTTGTCCCACCGCCGAATAGCCCACAACACCCACTCCCTCTAGCTGTCAGCACCTTCCCACCTCGTCCTAATAGTGTTTTTGTTTTTGTTTTCCTACTTCAAGTGTCGTTTATTGTAACTCTATTTGCTTATGTGTAATAATATTTGCTTCTCTTGTTGGGTTTTGCGTTAACTCCATTATCATTTGATATCAGAGCTAGTCTAACCCTAATCCTACCTTAGGGTTTCTAACATTCTTCCGCCATAACCCAAACCAATCTCCACCAGCCCACCCAATAAAAATAACAATAATCTTATATGTTCTTACTCTCATATCCTCTCCAACTCCCACATATCTAAACTCTAACCATGCCACCAAGGAGACACATGTATCCTCGAAGAGATAAAGCGAGAATTATGTTGACTCCAATAGAGGCTTGTGAAAATTGATGACTGGACCCACAGAAAAATCACTCTCGATTGTGATAGGAAAAGTCAAAACAGAGAAAAAGAATTCCTTCCATGGGGAGGGCTTCGGTGATGATGTAGACCTGCACCGACGCTTTAGATTTCATTATCCAAAAAGACCAAGAGAGGAGGTGATATATGGAGGATATAGAGATTTCATAGTGAAAATGGATCCATCGGAGTTCGAACGAGGGATGAACCCAAATGATTTTATCAAATGATTCCAGTCAATTAAGAGAATCTTCGAGTACAAAGAGGTGTCAGAAGACAGAAGGGTGAAGCTAACAGCAATCAAATTGAAAAAGAGTGCTCTTTGTAGTGGGAAAATTTGTATAGACAAAAAAGTATAGAAGTGGCAAAATTAACTGATGGAAGAACATGAAGAAAGAGATGCATAAAAAACACTTGTCTCCTCACTACCATCAGAATATGTTTTCGAGACTCTATCAATTACAACAGAGAGACCTATCAATGGAAGAGTTTGTGGCAAAATTTGACCATCTTCAGATAAAATGAGAGTTGGTCGAGCAAGAGGAACATGATATAGCAAGATATTTGGGAGGCCTAAAACCAACTATCTGTAACATTATTCAACTATAGTCATATTGGTCGCTGGGAAAAATCCAAACCATAGCCTTGAAAGTAGAGAGCCAGCAAAAACAAAAGAAACAACCACCTACAACTACACTACCAATAAAAGTACATCTGGATGGGTTGGGAACATTGGTGAGAAAAGTGACAAGACATATCTGAGTGGGAAGAAGCTCGAGAAGTTCAATATAGTGTTTGCCAGCATATGTTTTAGGTGTCACGGCTATGGACACAACCTCCAGTTGCCATAGGAGCCTAGTTATTTCCTTCATAAAGCAGAGTGTCGTCAAGAAAGTGAGTGAGGAGGAAGCAGAGGAAGATTGAGAAGAATTTCGACTCTAGGGAAATGAAAGAGAAATGCTAGTTGTAAGGAGGATCCTACCGACTGAGCTAGAAAAAGATCATTTATGGCTAAGCCATAACATTTTTTGCACTAAGTATACTGTCAGAAAGAAGTCCTGCAGTCTGATCATTGATGGTGGGAGCTGTGCGAATGTCGTTTTCACTCTGATGGTGAAAAAACTGAATTTAGTCATGTAGAAACATCCTCAATCATAATCCCTAAAAGGGGAGATAAGATGTGTGTAGATCAATAGTGCTTAGTTTAGTTTTTTTTATTTAGGATCAACTACAAGAGCAGGTGTGTTGTGATGTGGTATCCATTGAAGTTTGTCACATTTTATTGAGGAGTCTGTGGCAATTCGGCCGCAAGACCCGTCATGATGATTTCAACTTATTCATTTAAGTAGGATGGAAGACACATAGTACTTTTTCCCGTCAGGGACTCAAGAGTAGTAGACATCACAGAGGAGACGATAGTCTCATGAGCCACCTTTATACAGTCAATACAAGAGGCTCCAGTGGCAACGACTTTAATCATGTTTGATAAAAATGAGAAGGAGATTGTGATGCTAGAGCCTATGCAACACTTCTAGCTAACTTTTAGGATGTGATAACTGACAGCCTTTCAGATGGATTGCCACCCCTACGGGAGATTTAACAGATCATAGATCTCATCGTTGGAACAGTGTTGCCAAATAGGCCTGCCTACAAATTGACACTTGTAAGGTATGAAGAATTACAGTGACAGATATAGGACCTTATGGTAAGGGGCTTGGTAAGAGAGTACCATTCTATGTGATGTCCGTGTCTTGATGGTACCTAAGAAAAATGGATCAAGAAGGATGTGCATTGACGGTCGAGCTATTAACAAGATCATCATCAAATAAAAGTTTCCTACACCTTGTTTGGATGACCTCTTCAATCAGTTGCATGAAGTCATTGTCTTTTTCAAGATTGACTTACACAGCGGATATCACAAAATCAGGATGAGACCAAGAGACAAGTTGAAGACTACTTTCAAGACCTGGGATGGATTATACGAGTGAACAGTCATGTTTTTCGGGCTCTCCAACGCCCCCAACACATTCATGAGATTGATGCAACAAATGTTCCAAGCTCACATCAAGAAGTTCGTAGTAGTGTACTTCAACGATATCCTTGTATATAACTGTCGACCGTCAAAATTGGGAAAGAGATATTTGATTTAATATAATATAAGAGACTGAACCGATCTCATATATTTAATAGTTTAAATGATCGAGCACAACACTGCAATTAACACACTTATCCCGAAGAATATGTGCATTACTTGATAGTGAGGCTTGATTAAATAAATTACAGAATTTATGACATCTGTCTGGTCTACGAACCTTTTATTTTGACTGACAAGTCCTCCTACCTAATATTAAATGATTTATATTATCTGGATTCTTAAAGTTCTTTATAGAGGCAAACCCCTATAGTTAATTACCTCTCAAATAATTGATTCACTTAAGAGAACTCTTGATGATGATCAAAGGTATCTATTTTCATGAACTCAAAGTTTAGGGTTTCCAAAGTTGGACATAGAAAAGTCAAGTGGGGAAAGGGACTAAATGGGAACATTTATTTCTTGAATCAAATGAAAGAAAAGAAGGGGATGTTACGGATCCTGAGGAGAACCTCAGTGACTTCTCAAATTATCCTATTGTTTGTCTCCAATTTCAAGATGTTATTTGATGTTTCATCCTGCAAGTTTTATTATTTAGGACTTATATTTGTATGACATGATCACACAAATATACTGGAAGATATGAGGGTTTACATCATATAGGATGACAATCTCGGAACTTAAAACGAGTTAGAGCTTAAATTGCACAACTTGGCTATGCAAAGGACTAAAAAATAAAGTGAGGATTTATGTCACGCTGAGCAGACTACCTCGAAGTTCTATGGCTTGTTGTTTAATTCTAAGGAAAGATTTGTAGTTGTAGGTCGTCATCCTCCACCTGCTGCTTCTCTGTCGTGCTGCCCACAAAAACTTGCTCCAAGCTCCAAACTGTAGTGACTCCAAGTTTAGTTTATGTTTTGTATATGCAAATATAATTACTGTTGGGTCTCAAGGGTCTGGTGTACCTCCTAACATATGTCTTACTGGTCTGACTGTTCTCTACCCAAGGAGTTTAGCAGGTACATTAAAGTAAATAATGCAATAAAAAGAACAGCGAATTGCAGGAAACTTAAACAAATTGCTAGAAAATCTGCTATAAGAAAAAAACAAGAATGAGTAAAACAAAACATGATGACACGTATAAAGAACCAGGAGTATATGACTTATATTTGACATTGGGAATGTCCCCAATTGGCAGGAAAAGTTGAGTGTAAGGCTCAAGCTCAAATCCCAAAGCATGGTTTCACTGTAAGTTAAGTCATGGCTGAAATTTCACTACTTGATTTAATTAAAAGGAAGTTATGAACCACATATTCGTGTATCCTTATGTTTAGTATTTTAATCGACTTGTGAAAAAAAGTCAAGTGCTTAGTTACATCATTCATTTGAAAATTAGATAGAGGAGCTCTCACCTAGGGTGTGCTCTTAAAATCTAGGAAATAACTTGTGCTTGAAGTGATTT